TTGAAGAAAACCTCACAGTGAAGCAAACTGAATTCCGATGCAGACCTTTAATATATATACATAAGCTCATGGTCATAATCCAAAAAATACAAATATTGAGTTAAGTATGCAGAAATTATCACCACCTCTTCTTCTATGTTGTGTAAGTATTTCAAAGCTGTATTGATTACCAGTATCTCACTAGAACAAAATATGTATTAATTTTTACTATAGTAGTATATGTAAATTCAAAACTTTAAAGCCGTTTTTTCTCAAATTTTGCTTTTTTGAGTTATTACACTATTAAAGCAAATGAGCGATATGTATGTAATACATAAAAACTGCTTTGAGTTCTTATAAACAAACTTGACTTCCGTAAGTAGGGCAATGTAAGGGCAATACGCTGCATCATCTTTATTGCAACTATCTTGTAAACATAACATTGTCCATGTTTTTCATGCATATATATACTGCATGTTAAGAATGTTAATCCCGGGATCCCGGGATCCCGGACTTTTTAAGGTCTTGAAAATCCCGGGATTCATGGCAAGTAATTTTCGGGATTTGTAATTTGCACTGATGGCAATAATAGAAACTCCTTTCTTGACCAGTATTGGCTATATTTCTTTTTTTTATTTAATAATAATTATTTTTTTATAAATGTGTAGCTCATTATACATATAACACCGCGCGATAGTAAATTTTATACACAAATATCAATATATTCGCGAAACCATGGGCCAAATATAGTGAAATTGCGTTTTTAGTTTTTCACTCTGACGTCAATAATTCAAAAATGATTTTAAAAATTCTGAGAAATGTAATTAGAGCAGAAGTATGGGTATAAAATGAATGAGGAAAGCCTGTAGAATTTAAAGAGATTCAAGTTTCTGGTGCAGAAGGACTGGTAAATATTGAAAATGTCATTTTAAACTTTTTCTTTGAAATTTCGCAATATTTTTTTTTTTTAAATTATATGTTAAGGGCTTACATAAACTCGATAACAGCCTCGAATTTAGTTCTTCTAATTTTGTCAGCTTAAAAATTACCCATTCGTCCTTGTGAATACAAAAAATTTAAATTTTTTTAATTCTAAAGAAATTTCCTATTGCATTTTTTACCCATATTTTTATTCTACATTGCATTGAATTTATTTAATAATTTTTGGAATTAATCATATCTTTGAAATAACAAAGTCCTTCAAAATAAATCCTGCGGTCAGAGAGAAAAAATAAAAACGCCACTTTAAATAAAAAAGTAGGTTTCAAACCGGGATTGTGACAACGCCATCCCGAAAATCCCGGGACCGGAGAAAGCCGAAAAACTAACATCCCTCCTACATATACACAACGCAGCTTCATTTAAAATGCCTTTATATGCATAAAATAACTATAAATAGCGTAGTATAGCTGATAAGCTGAGCAACTCGAGATGGAAGAAGCAAAAGGGCTTTTATTTTAAATTTTAGGAAGACCGAATACTGTTTGCGGTTCGATTTGTATTTAAGCTAGGATACTTACGAAAGTATATAACTAAACAAAAAATGCATGTATGAAACGTGTACTTGGATCAATAAGTTTTATTATATCACTCTCCCAAAAGTCATACAATTTGCTTTATGTCGATTAGTACATCTATTGGCGGTCCCTGGTGTTGCCAAGAACCTTTATTTAAGCGACTCAAAGCTTACGTCGTAATATACATTTAAATAATAATCTCACAAAAAGCACGTGATCTTCAAGATGCTTATTCGCCAGTATAAGCTTTTTTCGATTTGAATAATTTTTTGTATCCCTATATATTTTACACAGAAAATTGTTACCCGTCTTGGAGCGCAGGTTTCGTATAATCTTGCAGCGTTCTAGAAGAGGGATATTGTCGTTGCCTCCGACATTCCCTCTATTGTAGATTAGTTAGAAAAGGAAAATGCCAAATAAACAAAAATTTCGAAATGAATACTCAATTAAATCGCAATAAAGGCCTGCGCAAACAGGCGCGGTACATCCAGAAAAAAAAGTCAGCTAAAATATTTCTCTCAACATATGATTTAGTAACTATAACCAAATAATGTAACTATAACCATATCATGTGTTGATAAAAATATACTTAGCTGACTTTTTTCTGTCTGTACGGTACAGGATAATCCGTATAATCCCGTACGATACGCGGTAACGATATAAGCAAAGGCACTCAAACAGGCGCGGTACAGCAAGAAACATTGTTGTCACGCGAATAGCGACGAGGTCAAGTTAGCGGCACTATTTTGTGACGCATTCTTCTTTCTAAATTAATATTTATTAATTTTTTCAACTTTAATTTGAAGTTCTTATTATGGTTTTTTGTTAATATCAATCTAGTATTATTAACTTTTTAATCTATTGCGGGAGAACTTTAGCTCTTAGCTGCAACTCTGCTTACGGTATACCCGCTTATACCGCGCGGTCAACTGTGCACGCTGCGGTATAGTTAGGTACCGCCTTGTACCGCACTTCCAATACCGCGTCTGTATGAGTGCTCACATATACAGCCATGGTATTTGATACCGCATATCGTACGGGATTATAACGCACTGTACCGTACCGCGCCTGTTTGGGCAGGCCTTAAGTCGGGTATGAATTTTTTTTTATATATAAAATAAAACAAATGACCGAAATGGCCGGAACTATATACGATAACTACGATATTAGTGTGGGACCACCTCTGAGGTACCACCTTTCCTTTGATAAAAAGAATTATAGAAATCGGATTACGTGGTCCGAAGCTATGCTGTAACATACGTTAAAAAATATTCCGACGAATTGATAATCTTCTCCTTTTATGGAGTCGGTCAAAAGTAAACTATGAAAATATAAAAAGTAAAAACTTTTTTTTAAAAAGTTAATTTAGTTCCATATACAAAATCCGAATCTTGTTTCTTTTTACCTAAACAGTAATGTACGTGGGGTCTGTTTAGTAAAACCTGCTGGTTTAGTGTGTTAGGACAAACCTTTAAGATTTTAATTTCTATGTTAACATACACACAAATAAAAGCATACACAAAAACAAGAAACAGTGCCGCAAGGTTTATCAGTTATTCCAGTTGTAAATAGGGGAGATAAAGTCATTCCTTAGTAGGAACTTTTAAAAATCGCCTCTAAGATGAATATGTATTACGTACTGTAGTGAAGTAGATATGTAAATATGTATGTACATGTGTATTTATAGATTTTTACTTACTCCTTTTCATCTACAAACTGCTATATGTATGCTTACTCTCATGTAAAAGCTTCGCCTTTCTTATTTAAGACGATTGTTTAAATAAAATCAGCATTTTGTTATTTTAAAATTTTTTCGTTTTCTTTTTATTTTGATTCTCAAACTCATTATTTCTCACACTTCTATCATATTTATTTACTCGTTTGTTTTTAATAAATTCTGGCCAGTAAAAAATCAATGCCTTACAAAAATATTTTATATTTATATATATGTATGTACACATGTATGTGTATAATTAAGGCCCCACTGGGAAAATAGGTAAGCACCTAACGAGGTCAACCATGTTTTCATTCAGTTTTTAGTGCCAAAATTGTCATCATGGCCAGTGTCATCTGCTACATAGTAAAGCATAAAGTGAACACCTCCGAAGTTATTTCCAAGCGCCTAACTACTCCGAGCGACTGCTCTGCATTATGCGTAACTTACTTTGTAAAGCGGCTCAGAGGTATGTCTGATACCAAATATACATTCTTAATTCCTACTTATATAAGGCGGCCACGTCTTTGTTAAAGTAATGGAGATTCGACAGGAAAGTGGTAAGGACCGCCGGGTAAAGGGCAATACCTTACCAGCAACTTACACTTCACCCGGCGGTCCTTACCACTTCACTGACGAATCTCCCTTACTTTAACAAAGACGTGGGTGGCCGAAGTAGTTCGGCGCTTGGAAATAACTTCGGCTGCACGTTGTTTTGCAACTGACAACGTAATGTGTCGTCGGTGGTGTTCATTTGAGATGGCCATGATGAGAATTTTAGTACTAAAAACTGAAAGAAAACATGGCTTACCTCGAAAGGTGTTTATCTATTTTTCCAGTGGGGCTACATACACGCATACATACTAGTAATTATACATACTAGGTGCCTATGAACAAATATTCGCATCTGGACTTTTATTTTTATTATTTTCTTTTTATTTAATTATTATAACTAGAAGTGGCTTTTCGCATTATTCTTACTAGTTTAGATCGCTTGGTGAAAATACTACATTACATTTATACGCTTTGTATATACTTCTAGGTATAAATGGGGACTACACAGTTAAAAAAAAAAAAGATATGTTAAAACGCTCACTTTTCACTTAGTTACAATAACATGTTTTTGTATTTATGTATTGCTAACATTTATGTAATTAAACAACAGTAAATTATTTATTTGTAACTCAATATTACAGCTTTTACCCAGCTAACCGCTAGGTATGTACTTGTACATACATGTATGTAAATTAAGTGAAAAGAAAAAATTTCCTACAGACCTTAGTGATCCTAGTTTAATTAGTTTTCATACTTTATTGCCTTTTTAGTTTACTCAGTTTGCTTTGAATTATTATGTTACCATTACATTGGAATACTTAAATACTTTGAAGTAAAGGAATCATTTTCGTACGAGTTAACACAAATAAAATTAAAAAGAATTACAATAATAATATAAATAACTAAATGCTTGTTTCGTGTTTTGTTTTCAATAATTTTAACGCATTTTTTATTTATTTTCTGAAAATTTGTTTAATTTTTTGTTTTAGCATGTGCAGTGGCGCTCACGTAAGTTGCACACATTTATTTTTTACAATATTCACAATGTTTTACATGAAACATTTTTTTGTTAGTTTTTCTATAAAAATATAGTTGATTTTTTTTCGAACATACTTTGTATGGAAGAAAATGCGTGATACCGTCAGCAAAAAACTTATCAAATATCAACGGAATTGTTCAAAACTTTCAAACGTGCAAGGTATTATACTAAATTGCATACCCAATAGGTTTCTAAAGGTTTTGAATAAAAAGTTGAAAATTTTGATGAAATTTTTTTTTTTAATTTGTTAAGTTTCCTGAATTTTTCACAAAGTTTTAAACTTTCACTTATATGGGTTATGTTATAAAATCTAGCATATTTTTATAAGCAATAATGAAAAAATTTATCACGTAAATAATTGTGAATATTGTAAAAAATAAGTGTGCTATTTACGTGAGCGCCAAAGCTTCTGTTTAAATCGCTCGATTTCCTTCGTGGAATATACTAGTACATCCAAGTATATATAGCTCATGATATTGTCCACAATATATTTCATCAAAAAATATAAGTCACCATGTTCTACTTCAAATGTACATATATTTGTTCGGTAATTTTTTTGTGGTTTATGTTTTACTACATTCAGTTTTTTTAATTTCTTATAATTATGTTCATCACTTTTTTTCGCATTAAATTAGTGGTAATTATAAAAATTAAATTAAATTAAATTAAATTAAATTAAGACGAGCGCCAATGTATGTAGTATGGATGTATGTCTATTTGTCTTTGTGTGTGTGTTGCTTACGCAATTTCATAAATCCAATTCAACCTGCCCTCCATACAAACATACTTTCAATTGCATACATAATTGTATTTAGACATGTATGAATGTATGTACGTTTATGCAAATACATTTACTATATGTATGTATGTATGTATAAATATGCGCTTAGCTTTAAAGTCTTTTACATTTTGCATGAAATGTCAATGGAAGTTTTATAGTTCCAGTTTTGTTTTTATATACGCCAACCTTGTTCGTCATCAACATTTGAATCTGTATCGGAAGGTTCTTCGCCATACATATCGGCCAATTTACGGAAACGTGGTCCGAAATTCGACAAATAGTCAAAATTGAGATCACCATCGTCAGTACAGGACGCCAGACTCGACAGACTGCCGTCCGAATTGCCATCACCTTCGTACGCATAGTGCCGCACATCATCCACCGGATATGTGCCCGCTTCTCGATCACAATTTTCTTTTTTATCACCCAAGAACCCACCAATATCGGGTATCTCATTATTGGGATCTTTCATCGCTTGCAGCGCATGTGGATCTTTGTAGAGTTTCTCCTCGTAGAATGGCTGCGTGCGCAACACATTGAGATCATAGTCGGTGTCCCGCTCACCGCCGCCCTCATCCTCGTAGTTGATTATCGTTTCTCGAATATCATCAATGTCTTTTTCATGCCAGCCGTTCTTTTGTTTCTTCTGCACGACCACAGCCAGTAGTATAATAAGCAGGAGCATTATACATGCCACAATCGCAATGATGAAGTTTCGATCAATGCCGAAACTTACCGCTACAGCAACGGCGCGTTGGCAACCCGAATCGATGTTGCGTGATATTGCAGGTGCGCCCAAATTGTAGGTATGATTGTTGATTGTCAGATTGCGTATGCAGCCGAAAAAGCCTTGCATGCTAGGCGTGTAGGTCCAGTTAAGTCGCTGACCAAGTTGGAATAGATCTATGGGTGTGCCGCCTAGTTGCAACGGTGCATTAACATTTAGGAACTCGTTGGGTCCTTGCGGCGCGCCCAAGCTCATGCAGGTAGACAATCGGCAGTTGTCTACTGTCATCTCAATACTCGTCTTCTGTAGTATGATGTCCAACTGATAGGATTTGCCTACCTGCAATTGAATGTGCCGATGTTCGATGCGTATGGCACCAGAGCCGTAGTCCACCGTCAATGTGGGAAAACCTTTTACCAACTCTAATGACAGGAAGTCGGATAGTGGCAAAAGTGGATTATAATTCAAGGGCCCTAGGTACATAATTAAGCCTTGGTCGGTTTGGGGCGCCACTTCGAGGCTAATTCTTGTGTTTTCGCATGGCGATATGGGTTCATAGAATGCGTAACCGTTGCCGTAGAAGCCAACAGAGACCAATTCACAATGCGGCCCCGTAAAACCATCGATGCAGTCGCACAAATCGTTCTCGCCTATGCGCGGTGTGCCACCGTTGAGGCAGTACGAGCTTAGCCTCGCTTCACAAACGCAATGCCACTCAATAAAAGCTGTCACCCCCACAAATGATGATGTATTCGAGTAGATCATGTACGGAATATTCGATTTGTGTAGCGTATTCATGCACGACGATTCGCATTTGTAGCGCTCGATGAGACATTCATCAATATTCACCATTAGCATTTGTAAGCCCAATTCATTTTCGAGCATTTGTTGATGTTGCGCTACAATACCATTCAACTTCTCGGGTGCATAGTATGGTGAGCCGTGTGCCGAATACCGCACATCTAAGGTGTTGTTTGCATTTTGCAGCACTGTGAAGACATCAACATTTGTAACGGATGTATTGAACAGTTTTGCGAGCGAAAATTGCAGACGATCTTTTAGTGAAAGTGAGTCGTCAGCTTGCGCGTCGCGAGGCACGCTAATGAAATCCTCTTTGGTAGTGTTGTAAAAACGTATGCTGCCACTTTTATCAACCGCTTCTTCGGGCAACTCCCGCACAATGACTGTAACATCGGCATCTACGGAATGTCGCGGTATGAAGGTCGACTCTTCGGTAACAACGAATTCAAGCAGATATTCGCCCTCTTGTGTATTTTCAAGCATTGTTATCATGCCTGTGCTCGGATTCAAGCGGAAATTATCGTGTGGTATGCCATTCTTCCAGCGGAACTCCTTGTCCTCGAGATCCCAGTCATCTGGATCGTCCACAAACACACGCCCCACATCGGTATCAGGCGCTTCGCCTTTGTAATTGTAGATAAATATACGCGATGAACCCTCCGACATCGCATTGTCATTGTCGTCACCAATTATCAGATGCAAAATGCTCACCTGACTTCGTTTCGGTTGTCCGGAATCGCTAATTCTAATGGGTATATAGTATTCCTTTTGTTCCTCGCGATCGAATTGCACATTTGCGAATAGGTAATCGTTATCGATGCTAAACTTGGCCTTAATATCTGGAGACGCCTCACTATCGATGCCATAGGTATATGGCGGCCCATTCTGCGGTTCGTCATAATCATTCGCTTGCAATTGCACAACTTGTCCGGGATTTCGGTTTTCTTGCCAAATAACTGGCATCGTATTCACCAAGAATGGCGCATTATCGTTAATATCCTGCAGATTGATTATCACATGCGTCACCGACTTCAAACCATATCCATCTTCGTCAACGGCCGCGATCAGTACCTGCCAACTCTTGTGACCATCTGGTGGATCACGATCCAGCGGCTGTATGAGCTTTAAGCAGCCGTCATTGTCAATTGTCAGCATCTTCTTTTGCTCCTCTTTTACCACCGAATACTTGATGTGCTGATCTGCTGAGCGATTTTTGATGTCAGGATCATAAGCCTCAATATTCAGTATACAGTAATCGTAGACCATTTCTTCTTGTATGGTTTTCGAGTACTTTTCCTTGAACTCTGGTGGATTATCGTTAACGTCCGCGATTTCTATCTTAACAGTTGCATAATCGTCGTAAATACCATCAAAGGCACGTATCTTAAGCACATATTCGGTAATGTTCTCATAATCCAGCCGTTGATTCACTGTGATCTTGCCCGTTTTCTCTTCGATTTTGAACGCATTCCCAACATTGCCACTTTCAATTGTGTATTGAATTTGTGAAGCATTATCTTCATCTTCGGCCATTACCTCAATGACAATAAAATTAATGTTTGCATCTTCTGGCAAGCGATCAGGTACATATTCGGGTAGCTGAAAATGTGGCTTATGATCGTTCTTGTCCGCAATTTCGATGCGAAACACTTGTTGTCCCCGATTTGGCTCGCCATTGTTGTATAAACTTGATGGCGAATTGTCACTAGCAATCACCTTCACATTATAGAAGTCACGTTCTTCACGATCGAATGTGGTCAAAGCTGTTATGTTGCCAGTATGTGGATCAATTTTGAAATATTCACGATTATCGGCCAACTCAAAAGACACAATATTATTCGCTTCTGTGCCGTCCATATCAAAAGCACGTACCTGCATCACAGGTGTGCCTGGCGGCTCATTTTCAAGCAATGTACCCTTTTTCACCTCTGTGAAATACGGTATGTTATCGTTTACATCCTCCACCTTGATTTTAACTATATGCTCTGCCACTAAATCGTATGTGTTGCGCGCACTCATTGTCAATGTGTATTCTGTGACAGATTCATAATCGAGTAATTTGCCCAAACCAATGGTTACCGTCGTGCCGGTCTGATTGAAGACAAAGGTCTTTTTACTATTCGTTTGCTCGGTTCGCCCCGTAATTAATTCGAAGATGACTTCCGGTTTGTCGGGCACATTTGAAACGGCACGTAACGTAACAATGGGCGTGGAGTAGTTCATGTAGTCTTCCTTCAGGTAAATAGGATCTTCGATGGGATCAACAAAGGAGGGCGGCTTCTTTGACGACTCAACAACGCGTATACGCACTTCAATTTGCGCATCTTGTGGTGGGTCTGGTACTATACTATTATAGGCACGTACATTGATTGTATAGTATTGGCCAGGACGTTTGTCGATGGGACGGTTTAGATAAATAATTCCTGCTGCTTTGTCGATTTTAAAGTACAAATGATCGCGATCGGGTAGAATTTCGTATTCGACAATACTATTGTTGCCATCATCCAAGTCACTGGCCGAGATGCGCATCACAATTGCGTCAGGCTGCAAGTAGAGGAGAGCAAAAAATCTAAATTCAAGTAAGGATATACGTTAATATTCATAAGGGGGTTTGAGCCAAGAAAAAAATAAAGCATTGGCTTTAATTTACATAAATCATGACTCAGTAAATTATAAATTCAAATAAAATGAGATACGCAGTGTACCAACTTTACGTACACGCGATTTTTTTTTTACTCACAGAATCCAACAAGAATACTGTTTTAATTATTACTTTAAGAATTTATGTATGTAACACTAGATATGTTCAATGGTGAATCCCACTACCTAGAAGCCAAAGATATATTGCCTTATAAATGCAACAAAGTACACGAATTCCTATCTTTCAGACGTTCGACCATGGATGAAATGGATGAAATCCGGCATTCGGACCCTCAAACATCAATACGCACACCACAAATTCGCGGAGTAGCTCGTCCAATTACCGAGTAAAGTGTGTAGGCGCCAAATATTTATTTATTTTATTTTTATGTGTTACAAAGTATCAAAAACAGGTAGGGCTTCTTAAAAGGTGGCATGTAACCAGTGTTGCCGTTTTGGTTACTATTAACCAATTTTGGCTATTTTTTTCTTGGCTGTGCAGTTGTTAAGGTCTTTCCCGTTTTGGTCATTTTTTTAATATTTACTGTAGTTTTTAATTGATATAGGTCAGCTACATCTGTCGAGGTTGAGGAGAGTAGCAGCAGCAGTGGCAGCCCCGGCAGTGAAACCAAGTAAGAATATTTGGAATGAATGTATTAATATTACTTACATATGTATGTATTTGTTTTATAATATACAGAATACATAATATAAGTACATGGTCGGCTAAAGACTATGACGATACTAAGACAGTACATATATAAATACCTCGTATCAGTAGCATAGCCAGGATTTGGCGAAGGGGGGGATTAAAAAAAATTTTCATCGATAACTTAAAGTTGTGATACACAATGGCTAGAGGCGTCGCACTATAGGCAAAACACGAGTTTTTTTTCAAAATCGTAGATCTGCGCTTAGAAAAGAGATAATGGAATGAAAATTTTTTTATCGTGAAGATAAATGATCATATAATATAGGAAAACTATAGAGAAGTTACAACAACAATAACTTAACCCTCAAAATACCGTTCAAAATGTCACTTTTTTGATTTTGGATTTTGGCTCCCATTCCACTAGAAAACACTATATTTAATACACCATTACCACTGTTTCTGAAAGATTTCTCTTTATTTTATCTTAAGACTCGATTCTTGGGACATTGGATGCTGTACCCGAGTGGCCAGATTGGAAAAAGAAAAGCTACCTTTAAACTCTAATTACTCGTAAACTATCAGCTTTCACAAAAAAAATTATATAACAAAAATGGTTATACTGGTCGATATCTTTACGAAAGTGCAGCATTTAACCCTTTAATGCAGAGTCTGTCATATATGAAACGTTTTTTAACCCTTTCAAGGCAGAGGCAAAATGGTTCTCAATATGTTTTCAACGTACTTTTTATTTATTTTCATTTATTTATTTTTATTTTTAATATTTTTATTTATTTATTTATTTTTTTTTTATTATTTTACTATGGAAAATTTTTCTACGATTAATATCTACGTCAACATGAGAAAAAACACGTTCAAAAGCATATTGAGAACCTTTTTCCTCTGCCTTGAAAGGGTTAAAAAGCGTTTCATATATGACAGACTCTGCATTAAAGGGTTAAATGCTGCTTTTGAAAAAAAAAAACTCGTGTTTTGCCTATAGTGCGTCGCCTGTGGGCATTCTTTCCTATATGTATGTATGTGCCATTTCTACCGTTATATATTTTTTGTGTACTCGGTTATTCCCTGGGGAATTCATGCTTTATTTAAATTTAAAAAATTAAATTACTACACCATTTTAATTAATTAGTGTGTAGTCCAGTTTTGTTTTGTAGAAGTTTCGTTAGTATACACTTCAGTTTTTACACATTGAATATATCTGCATATTTATATATTTACGCGTATCTATTTACATTTATTTATGTACAAGTCTACAAAATCTTATTAATTATAAAGCGGTTTTTAATCTTCGTTGCTTAACACACATTTTTCCAATTACTTCTTGTGTTGTAATCGGCACATCATTATGTACCGCTAACATCTTAAACCATTCAGCCATTCAGCCTTAATTGTATAAAAAGAAGGGGCAGGACAAATAGGATAGCATATTCAACAATTGAGTAGTCCACTTGCAAAGTGCGCTATGTAAATTTAATTTTTTTAGATTTTTAGTTTTTGGTGGGTTTCATGTCCACTAACAGCAGAGTGAAAAATTTTTCTATATTCTGAAAAAATAGCATGAAATGTTAACTACTCTTGCAAAAGTCGCTATAATACTTATTTATACACTTTCAAATGTCTCCTCTTCGTATGAACTTAGAAAACTGCAAGAAAACGTGGTAGTTTCGGTGCCTAGTGGAAGAGGTCGCAAAAAAAGAAGCAAACCTAGAGGAGAGAACGCGAAAAGCTAAAAAAAGCTAGCTATGTAAAAGTTACTGTTTCAAAACTTGCAATATTAAATTTTTAAATATAAAATTTGCAAATCTACCATACTGCAATTTTATTTTTTTAATGGTATTAGGCTCTATTATTTATCCAAATTTTCAGGTAATAAAAAAAGATACAGTTCGGACGTTACTTGTTGTCGTAGACGTTTTTTTTTTTTAATTTATGGTTTACTTTTATAAAATCACATAACGCTGTTTGCAAGCGGACTACTCATATATTCATTAAAAGATAATTTGTCATCCGTCTGAAATAAAAAAAATTTAAATCAGAAGGATAAATTAGTATTGTGTTATTAATTCAAAAGTAAATAATTGTAGTTCAATGACGAAAGGGGGGATCTATCCCCCATATCCTCCCCGCCCCCGCATGGCTACGCCACTGCCTCGTATATGCGGAATCCAATACCACTTCATGTATGTAGAATAAAAAAGGGATTTGGTTATTCTTTTTCCATTACTGCTTACTTTATTAATTTAAGTTAAGATTAATAATAATAATCTTACAGCAAGTAGGTTCAGTCAAAATACCATTCCAGAGTTTTGAAAACAACCGGTTTTTTGCGCTTTTGTAAAATTTATTTACCATCGTATACGCGGTACTACGTTCGACGTATACGAGGTATTTCGCGCTGAGCGACGATATAGTTCAATAAGCCCTATTTTTAATTGTTTAATCTTAATCTTAAAATACATACAATGGTGTTGTTCACGAAGATTAGGTATTTCATTGATTCTTACAAAGAAGTTGGAAACTGTGTACCTATGTATGTACTAAACGTTAAAAACGTCATTTAGAGTCTGGTAATGTTTACGAAGATATTAACATTCATACATATGCATCTAATACGGGAAGGCTGATTTTCTAAAATATTTAATATTTACATATTAAGGCTGTAAGGATTTATTTTTCAAAAATGCAAATAAAAATTGATTTTCTTTGGTTTGTAAACTTTTTCTATACGTACTATATAAAAGAATTTGTGATGTCTGAATTGTTAATCTAATAAAAAAAAACTGATTATTTTTCCTTACATTTGGTAACTTTTTCGTCTAATCTTGGTTAGAAAGTTCTTTGAGCGACGGCAACAGTGCATGTAACTCCGTTGTTTTTGGTACCCACACTTTAAAATTTGTACTGAAGATGTATTTTAATACATCCTACCAAAATCTGTGAAAAAACGCAGTTTCGAAAATGGCGTGTCCATACGTGTGTATTTATGTACATTATGCATAAGAAAAATGTCTACCTATTACTCGATGCTTAGAAATCGTGAAAAAAGAACAAAAATAATATTTTTGTGTCAATTTGTCAAAAAAAAACCTCCCGCAATAAACACTATTTTTAAATTGTCCCTTCAGTTTTATTAAATTTATTTAAATTAATTTTAAATACACATTAATAAAGACTAAGTATCTAGTATAAATAATTAATTTAAAGATATTAATTTTAAATTTAAAGTAGGCGGGGTTTTGCAGCTATAAAATACATCCTCAACCGCCTTTATTTATCATTCCGCACAGATGTTGTTACACTGCTGGTAAATAATAGCGAATTCCTCTTTTACTTAGTGATTCAAAAAAACAGGTGTGTGCCTTTTTTAAACTGGAGGACAGATTTTTCCAAGAACGCAAAATCGTTTTAATGAAAACGTGGTCAGCAACATAAAAATTATACCATCTACGGCATATAAATTGACAGATTGGAAACAATTGGGCTTTAAACTTTGGCAGAAGAATAAGGGTTAAAATGGCAAGAAGCGCTCTCGTATGTATAATAACGGCTCTAGAATATAGAGTCTAGATCGACGATAGTAGTAGTTACTATGTCAACTAATTCGTCAACTACTGAATCCGACTATGAAATCAAATTTAATGAAAGTAGAAAAGTTTGAAAAGTCCATACACTGCATTTGCAAGAAGTGGTTAGCGAATTTAAGTTTTTTTTCCTTAAAATAAAGCTCATTGAATTTCTGATTGAAGTTGTATAAAACAGTTTTCATTTAAACGGTCCGCCTCGGAGCTATTTACGATATATTTGAGAATTTTGCAATCAAAAAGTGATAGTTATAACTGGGTTCAAACTTTTCAATAGGATTCCTGCGAGAGGTTTTTGAAAAATTTTCTTTATTTAAAATCATACCCCGCTATATAATTGCATGATACCATGTAGATTTCAGGGTTGGACATTTTTGCACTACCACTGGTACTTAGATTTAATTTTTTCGAAAAAATTTTAAAAGTACATATGTACATATGTATATTGTGCTTATCATATACAGTGGAGTGTAGAAATGAGTACACGGTGATTTTTCGTAAATATTTGTCAGGGTTTTAAAGTTATTTTTTTTTTTTTTCATAAAAAAATATGGTTCATGCTTTAACCAAAACCATATAAATCAAACTATCAAACTTTATACAGAGATTGAAAAAATTTAACAAATTTTCAAATTTTCATTAAATGCCCCTTG